CAGGGGGTTGGGCTGGGTGACCCACAGAGGTCCCTTCCAACCCCGACCATGCTGGGATTCTGTGATTCTGTGACCCTCACACAAGACCGAAGCCGTGAGCGGGGCTCCCAAGTGCAGCCGCCCAGCCCCGAGCTCCCACCTCGCCGCCGCCTTCTGCAGCCCCTGAAGCTGCCCACAGGGTGCGAGGCGTGCGGAGGGCAGAGCAGGACGGATTCTTTGCTCCCCTTAACCTGTCAGGCAGCCTCAGAGATTGAAGGCAGACCCTAGCACAGGCCTGGTCGCTCGGGTTTTAAATCCTGCAGGGATTCCAGCCTCTGTTTTTCGGCTGCAGACCTGGCTCTTTCAGACCAGAGGAGCGTCTGCGGTTGATGCCCTGGGAGCCTCAAGCACAGGATGGAGTTTTAGCATCTATTGCAAAGCTTGGCGTTTCTCTGTATTTCCTATGTCGCTTCCCAGCCCATGACCTAAATTATGAGTGGAAGATATTAAGCCTGGATTTTAACTTAAGAGCTGACTACACCCACAGGAGAAATTAAAGCACAGTGTTGGTTTTTGATTGAAGATAAGCAAGCAGTGAAATCATACTCGATTCTTTGTTTAAACTGCTGCCAGAAATAGCTAGTTTTGAGCAATATCCTCTTCTTCTTTATTGCTCTTTCTCCTCGAAAACCTGTCTCATACTTCCACCATATTTAGGCACAGTCCTGTTTTGGCTTGTTGGTTTGCTATGTTGTAATAAAATGTCAATTAACCTAAATTACTTACTTCTTCCTGCTTGCTGTTAAACCTTTTTCCCCCAAAACTAACGTTTGCCAGCTCCTACTGGAATTTCTTCACTGTAAAGTCCATGGAGGTTTGTGTGCAGTGTCATAATGGTCCCAGAGAAAACCTTGGGAGAGGAATGTGGCAGAGCTCTAATTTCTCGGTGAGGCACCAGCCCTGAGCTGCTCATCGCTGTGAGAAAGTGCAAGCGGGGACTGTGCCCCAGCATCCACCTGTGGCTGGGCTGTGGCTCCTGCTGTAAGTAGTGAATCTATTGTTTCTTAAACTAGAAAAAACATAACCCAATTTCCAAGTACTGAATCTAAATAATTACTCTCAGTCCTCGAATAATCCCATCTCCTTTGATTATATAGATCCTTTGTCTCCCCTCAGCCAGTTCTTTCAACTGCTAATAATGTACCAGCCGATTTAAACCTCGTGTCCTTCGCTGAGGAACGAGATGCTCTAACTGTAACCCAGCTTTATTCCTTCAGGGAAGATTTGGTTGAGGTTGGACAATGCTTCATTTTATAATGGGTTTAGCTCTGTGAAACTTCAGCTAATGCCATAAAAGAGTTAATGGATTTCTGCAGGTTACAATCGAAGTTTGCCCTGTGTCAGGATTTTCTCCTGACGATGCTCATAGATAAGGTGATAATCTTGTATCTGAAGGCAAACATATAGAACACATTTTAGTGATCCCGTGGAGTGGTTTCCCAGGCAACTGTAACATCTCCATCCACAGCAGGGTGCAGGGCTTGCCTGGCCAGCTTCTCTTCATGCTAGTGAGTCTGCGAGCAGCAAACGTGCCTCGCCATGCTTTGCGGGGGATAAAAAATCACATATGGTGTGCATGAGTTTGGGATATTTCCTCTGGATGTTAAGCTCATTTATGGATCTGGTGTTGTCCAGAATAAAGAGTGTCTGACTGCTCAGGGTGGGAAGATACATCGCCCAGTTGCAACCTGCCAGCCAGGATTGAATGGGTGATAGCTTCTGTGGACGCAGTGGAACACGCTGCTCTGGGTCCAGAGGTGGGCGGGTGAACCAGGAACTGCCCCTTTCTAAAGAGAAATACTAGTGGTACAAGAGAAAAAACCCTACAATGCTAAAATTAGGAAAGGGAGAATCAAAAGATCACTTTATGCAGGGATAAAAAACGTAGTGAATACATTTTGTTCTTGTACTGCTTTCCTTCTTGCGGAAAATGGGACTGACGTCAGAAGGATGGCGGAGAGCACGAAGTCTGTGTGAACATGGTGTGCTCTTCTTCCAGCTCCATCCCCAGCCCCTATTTATGCTACACCACCCCAAATGTGTCAGCAGGGCTTTGGGAGAGGTTGCAGGTTAGAAAATAGCCCTGGGAAATTCAAAGTTATCAGGGTCCGTGTTTCCCGTCTCTGACATTTGGAACAGAAATAGCCATCTTACAGCTTGTGAACTACAGGGATTGTACAGCAATTTGATGTGGCTTAAGAACATAGCGTGTGATTGGCACTGAAAGCTCGCACGTTGCCTCTGAGATGCACACCAAGAAACCCCAGCAGGGCTGAACTGTGAATCGTTCCGGTGAAATGGGAGATCTTGGGGCTGCGCCTCTTGGTCACGTCTTTGATGTGCAGTATCTGAGCTAGCTTGGTGTGCCCGCTGTATAGACATGCCCCGAGGCCACAAGCTGCAACACCTTCAAACAGCACAGGTTAAAGAGGCTCTGCCCTTACCACAGAAGCCTGCAATGAGTTGAATCAGAGTATTTTTAGCTCCTGTCCTGTTGGCTTAGATGATGCCGATGTTATGAAATTTGGCAAGGCAGAGAATTGTAGGGTTGTTTGAGTTTCAAGGGATCTCTTGTATGTAATGGGCTACGAGGATGGTGAGGGGACTGGAGCATCTCCCCTACGAGGAGAGGCTGAGGGAACTGGGCTTGTTCAGCCTGAAGAAGAGAAGGCTGCGAGGGGACCTTATAAATGCCTACAAATATCTCAAAGAGCACTGGCACAGGCTGCCCGGGGAGGTTGTGGAGTCTCCTTCTCTGGAGATATTCCAGACCCACCTGGACAAGGTCCTCTACAGCCTACTGTAGGTGACCCTGCTTCGGCAGGGGGTTGGACTAGATGACCCACAGAGGTCCCTTCCAACCCCTACTATTCTGTGATTCTGTGATTCTGTAATGTGGTCCTGTTGTTCCTGCTGTGGTGAAGAGCCTGGGAACGGCGTGAGCTTCGCTTTCTTACTTGCTCATTCATAATTGGTTGTACTAGTCGGAGCATCTCAGATCTCACGAAGTAATGGCGAAGGGCAGGCCCACGCCAGGCGTTGGAGCCCTGGGCAGAGGTCCCTGAGCTGGTGGCGGTGGTGCTCGCTGGAGCACCAGGAGAGGCATCGCCTCATCCCCGGGGCACCGTCCCTGCACCCATAAACCCTGCTGAGATGGCTTGGGTCCCACCGCGCCCACGTGGTTCTTTGGTGCTGAGGACCAGGCGAGTGATGCGTGTGGTGCTTCCATGGAGTGTGAATTCAGGTGTACTCCTTGCTGCTGCACAGTCGAGTCCTTCAGCTTCTTGCTTTTAAAAAGAGGCCCTCAGCCCCTTTGAAAGTTAAACCCCGTCTTCACTCCTCACAGCTGGGACTTGCTCAGTCTTTATTGAAAAGTGCAATATTGAAGTCCATCATGTCATTTTTTCAGTGTACTTGTGTGATGGGAATTGGGTTTAAAAGCATGAACTTTTACTGCTCAAATGAAAGAACTGGCTGTCAGCAGGCAGGCTCTTTGGAAGGAAAAAGAGTCACGCTTTTTTTCTGTGGACTGCATGTTTGCTTGTGGCAGTCAATATAGTGTCAAGCTGGTCAAAATAAACACTGTCCTGTGCACGGAGAGCAGCCCTGACCCTCAGCGTGTGTGTCCTTTCCTGTTCCCCAGAGACTGAGGTCACATTAGCTCTTCTAATATTGGATTTTGTGTTTATTCATAGTAATCTGTACTCTTGATTAAGAAGCAGCAGTTGATTACCTCCAGAGCTAGCGGCTGTGGGGAGGGGTACAGATTGGAAAAAAAAAAACCCTGATGCTAAAAGGGGAATTCACACGGTGGAGACAGGGAGAGAGATGTGGTTCATGAATTAGGTATTAATGCAAGCGATAGAAGGGTAAAGGAGGCAGATACAACTTCTTGGGGAGTTGTATCATGTGCAAAAACATAACTGGGTATGAAGAAATGCTTGCACAGAGCAAGAAGGATCCGGTCAGCTGCAACAGGTTTTCAGTGAGAAACCCAAAACTTCTTCTGTCTTTTGGCATGTGTTATTTTTGGATGAAGCCTTTTATAACAGGAGGAGAACATGAGGGGAAATCAGGTTCCTCGGTACCTTATGCTCAGACAAAAGGCATGTCAGCTTGGGCACCGAATTGTATGACAGCAACCTTACTTCTCTTCTACTTGAGGACCTTTATAAGCAGTGATAATCACCAAGAAAAGATCCAGGGCTGGCATTTTGCAAGGGAGTGAAGCTCCTTGCCGTCACGCATGGAGTACCAAAGGCGCCGAGCGGTACCCGCTGCCTGGGTACCACCTCAGTGTCTTCACTGCCTGTAGAGCAAGGCAGACTCATAGTTTGGTTTTATCTTCCTACCAGCAAATTTGAAAGCATGGGTATATTCACAAGGTGCAGCTTGCTCTAGGGCTTAGTGCCTATTTGTTTTGTGTTTAGTCAGTCGTTGTGGAGGAGAACCCTTCCTATCAAAAAGCTTTTGCAGAAAAGGACGGCTCCTTTAAAAGGGCTTCACTATCCTTGTTTGTGGAAGTGGCACAGATAAGTAGAAAGAAAATAGCAGTGAGTTAAAAGAGCATAAAGAACAGATGGAGAATGCTCTGCACTTTGGAGAAAAAAGGTGTGTCCTCTCACCTCCTACAAATGAAGACTGCTGTTCCAGATGTAGCCACTTCTTTCCTAAAGGTACTTTAGGTATCGTGTCACAAATTTAAACTGGCATCTTACCCTTCTCCAGAAATGCCAAGAGCTAATCTGTGGAACAGCTGAGGTTTCTCCCTCACAAATGTTGCCTGTTCAGAAGGAAATGAGCCACTCCTGACTTGTGATTTGGATATTTTCTCATAATTCCGTGCCAAGTGAGAGTTAACTTTGCCTTTCTCTCGGCTGATCAGCCCAAGACTGTTTGTAGATGAAATGAGACTGGTGACAGATGTCTTGCATCCAGCTGACCTGTTTTCCCTCCCGAAGATGGCTCCAGATTGCATAAAAACCTGCTCAGGTGTGAGCAATTCACCCCTTTCTCTCCAGTCTGTAGATGGTGAGTGTCCTGATGGGCTTTTGGCATCCTCTGTGTCCCTCCCTGACCTTCCAGTTACTACAGGTCCACAGGTTTGTGTCCCACTTTTTGCCTCCCAACCGTAGTTGTTTCATTGGGTTAGCTGCGCTACCACGGCTAACTTTTGCCCTCCGTCACTCCCTTTTTTCCATTCCCAAATGACGCAGTGCTTGTTGGTATGACATCTCAAGGACTTAGAGAGCAGAAGAAATGGTTTTGCACTGAAATTATCTACACAACAATGTGCATACATGCTTGAGCCAGCATATTCTGTTGGCCTCGTAGCTTAATAAAAAATACCTGGTACGTTTTCCTTGTCTTTCTTAGCCTTATCCACCGGAGAACCCGGAGATACAGTGCAATAATACATATAAAAAATTATGCCCTTCAAAGCCACTCAACTCTTTCTCCCTATTCCCTACTATTTATACTGTTTATGTTAGCTTTCCTTGACTCCTTTAAAGCTTCATGCCTTTAAAGTTTGATCTCTTCTGCTTAAGACACATGAGACTTTCCTACATCTTTTTCTTCTCGCTCTCCTCAAAAAAACTTTTCTTGTCTATCTAGGCTCTTTTCTCTTTCTTGCTTTTACTTCACCGACTATTCAGAGTTTCTCAGATCACCGAGATCTTTGTTGCATCTGAACAGAAATTGGGTTTCAGCCTTGACAGGTGTCTTTTTAGCTTCGCACTGACATCTTTTCTTAGGCAGCAGCTTCCTTCAGGATCTATTTGAGAAATTTCTGAATGCATAAATTATGTTTGCATGCACAAATAAGCGTAGCAAAAATGTTAATTGCCACCACTTTTCAGTTGCTGAGCCTCCTCTTAATGGGTTGAGCAAGTTTAGTCTGCTCTGCTTTTTTTTTTTTTTTTTCTCCAGTTAAATTATCAAATTACTTTAACATTTGGTGGTGGTGCACAGAGAATAATAAGAGCTTGTTTTTCATGTTGTACTTCAGTTTTTCTGAAGGCATGCTAAGGAATCTTGACAAAAATGCAAGAGCATCTCTAAATCAGAAATATATTCTGCCATTTCAGATATGTTTTTGCCAAAAGCATTGTTCTTGTCATTTCTCATAGAATACAGCAGGAACGCGGTAGCAGCAGCTGAAGTCGCCTGGACGTTTGCGCGCTTGGCAGAGGGCCTGTAAGGTGCCGTGCGCCGCGGTCTGTGGGAGGTGATGTTTGGTAGCACAGACTCGGGTTTTACATCACTGCGCAACGTGATGCCATCGGCAGCTCTGCCCCGTGCCGGGGAGTGGGACCGGCAGAGCCGGGTAAGGAAACGCGTGTTGTCTCTGCCCGCGTCATCTCTGTGTACGTTGACTGTAGCCAGGAAAAAGAATATATATAATTATAGACGGTGATTTAGAGTTTAAAATCCTGAGGATGGTGACTGTGACGCAGCCGACAATTCCTGTCTGAGGTAGGCTCAAAAACATGGCTTTAAAGCTAATTTCTGCTCCTGGCGTGGGAGGAGCAGACCGCAGCTTCACCCCCTTTGCTGTGACAGTGACGTGCACGGCTCTGATGATGCAGAAGCGCTTCGAAATCGGATGGCAACCCGCACCCCGAGGTTCACGGCGTAGGTCCACAAGTCTTACGTAGTCTAACAGCACTGGCTTTCTGCGCACCTCCTAGCTGCCATCTGTCCAGGCAAAGCGAGCTGACCGGGACGCCGTGAAGGAGCGGCGGCAGGAGTGGCAGTGCTGCTTCTTGCTTTGATGCCCTTTTGAGTCGCTTTTTCTCCTCCTCGATAAAAACCTGTGCGTCAGGAGGTGCATTGCTGGAGCCTTAACCATTGCTAACGCAGGCTTAGAGAGGAATGATGTCTGAGAGGAGCTGCACTGAAAATTCGGTTTTGAAAAGGAGCCGTGTGTCTTTTAAGTGAGGGCTGCAATGCCATGGCTCATAGAAGCCATCCCCGTCTGCAAGCAGTGTTATCGCTGGCAGAATCACAGAATCACAGAATGTTCGGGGTTGGAAGGGACCTCTGTGGATCGTCCAATCCAACCCCCCTGCCAAAGCAAGGTCCCCCCGAGCAGACT